CGCCGCCCCCAAGCACCCCGCGGCGCCCACCGATATCAGAGCCGCGGCGGCGTTTGCAGGGGTGCTCGCCCCTGCTAACTACCTGGCCAGAGCGCTCCCCCCTGCTAATAAGTACCTGGCCAGGGCGCTCTCCCCTGCTAAACACCTGGCCATGGTGCTCAATTAAATATTAGACCAAGATCGTACGATATTCGGATATCAGACATGTCAGTTTGAGAACCATTTCAATATCGATCTGATGCGAAAATTGACAAATTTCTGTTGTCTGAAAGACTGCACCGATAGTTCATACCACTGACAGCTCTGCCATTATTCGCATAACCGTGACCGTGTACGGGGGGAGGGGTAGGTTACCTTAGGTTAGGTTTTGTTGGGTTGGCTTGCGTTAGTTCACATCAGTTTCAGTCAATTTGAGGTCATTTCGACACCATTCTGAACAAAACATCCGTCGTCTGCTTTGTTCCAAATCCCTTTCACGTTGTTGCCAACTGTTATCAATCATAACCAAAGAGATTCATAGATGGGTGACTAAAATTCGGGTGGATTTTATAATAAAGAGAATATTGTCTTTCAATCTGAAAGGATGCAGGTTTTTGTTATTTTTTTTTGTCCAAAACCACGCCAGGGTGACATAATGATCGAGGTTGGCAACCGTGTAGTGAAGAGGAGAAGGAGAAGCGAGAAGAAATTGGAAAGAAGAAGAAGGGGTTAAAAATGGGCGTGACAGCACCGACAGCCTTCTCATTCAACTTGTGCTGTTGTATCACATTGTCAACGTCGCTACAGCAGGATTGCTTCAGCTTCAATCCGTTGAGCCAAGTAAGTCTTCTCGATATCCTTCTGATATTGGCGTTTGTCTTGAGACGAAAACTTTGTGCCCATGCAAGTCATTCAGTCACCGATCAGCCGGTGTTTGACTAACCTCACCACTCCACGTGGTGTATTCGTCTGTCCGTTAGCCCAAAGTAGCAGAGATTTGTCATTAATACACCAATATGACATCAAATTTTGGTCAATTTTATTTTAGTCACTATGACGTTTTTTCCATTGAAGAACATGACCATTTTTTGATGTCAAAATGACATCATGATGATAAGAAGGAATTTTTAAACAAATAATATTGCTGGCCATTTTGCAGGCCCTTGATGCACTCTGCTTGATTGTCTCTATCCACTCTCTCAGCTTTGCACCGCCAGAATTTGACATGAAATGTAATCTGCAAGTGGGATTCGAACCCACGACCTTTCAATCCCAGCAGTGACTTGCTAACCCCTGAGCCACATATGGATCTGAATAGCATTGGCTTACGTGCTCCTAGTGGTTTAATTTAAACCCATGTTTACATTAGCTGATATCATATCGATGTAAACATTACAGTTTCTATCATTATGCAAAACAGTCAAAAATTTGTCAGTTTTTAGTCTTGGTCAATAAGTTGTCCATTCCATGTCACATTGTGGCTGCTGTGACCTGTTTCATTAAAATTAGGTCAATATTATGTCAATTTGATGTATTCTTGACTAATCTCTGTAACTTAGGAGGATGTTCCTGGACAGTTTGAGCATGTTAATTTGAACAGGGCTTGCGCACCATTCCCCATCTCGGATTTGAACTTAATATGGCTGGTTTGTAGTACAATGGGGCTACCTTGCAAATCAAAATCACGTTCGGTTCTAATCCAAGATCGGGAGCTTGCGCACGGTCGCGCTCGTCTGAATGGGTGAACTAATTTGATCGTTTATTATCCTCTTTCCAGGAGGACAAGCCTTCGGGGGCCGCTGGACGTCACGTCACGGGCGGGGTAGCAGTTCAGTAGCACTGGGGACGGCAGGAGACCTGGTAAGCTATATCGCTGTGTGTTGTCTTTTGAGTTGTTTTCTCTACTTGTGGCAATGCTACACCCTTGCTGTCTTGATCTTATGCGGCGCTCTCTGGCCCGTTTATCTGTTGACATGTGTTTTGCTGGCGTGTAACTACTTGCTGCGCACTCCACCTTGAAACTCTTGGAAATCTGTTCATAATAGTATGGTTGACACCAAGTGACTATTCGTGCTACACGTAGTTCACTTTCAATATTCTGTTTGTCGTTGAATGCTTCTTGAGCTTGATTTCTAGTCTTAGTGATGCCAGTGAAGCTGAAAGTCACTCCAATTGGTTTGCGTAAACTGACTGGCTGCATGAGAACTGAAGCGAGCGTCACGCTAATTTCAGCCACTGATGTTATTCAAAACAAATTATGACGGGGTGGCTTCAGCTTCACAGGGTTTAATCTTGGGTATCGTTTAACTTAGTTACATGAAACTGCTCTTTAATTATTCATTTTCAAATTTTGGTGATGCATTGATATTCTAATTAACACTTGTCCAACAAACATATCATTTGCTGCCGTTCAATCTAAATGCGGTGTTCTGGCTCTATAAGCCGTAAAAGAACGTATTAGCTAAGACATGTTACTGACTTTAGGTGTGATGCGTTTCAGTGTCTGTTTGACGCATGCTTTAATGTTTCCTTTCTTTTTCTGCAGGGTCGCCGCTGCGGCTCCCAGTCGTCCTGCTGTCTGTCCAGGTGAAGGGCTTCGGTGGGACAAGTGTTTCTCTGGATGTGGACCCTTGTTGGCTGTTCTTACTTTCTGTGGTGAGCTGGCTGTAGGGCGTTGCCTGCTCGCTACGTGGCTTGTCCGTCCCTTCAGGACGCCCCCCGGACAACGCTCGCGTACCTGCCTGCTGCCACTGCAGAGCTTGTCTGATGCGCCTTCAGCGTGGCGTGGGGCCATGGGGCCCAGGCCTCACGCCTAGGACGAGCTGTGTGTGGAGAGGTGGGCCCTTCAGGGCGGTGGGCGCGCCCCCTCGGGCAAATATCACTGCGGTTCAAGTTTTTGAAAAGAACTCCACGAGGCGACGTGTCCGGTGCGACGCGAGCTCCGCCGAGCCCCGGCCAGCGGGCCGTTTGCGCTTACTACTTGGTGCGTTACTGGAATCTTGTTCGGCACGACGCTCAAAGCCTCTCAGTTCCAGGCACACCAACTCCAGGAAGCACCGGACGTGGCTACGCACGCGGAC